AATTAATAATATTCTATAGTGTGACCAAACACTATTGGTTAGGTAAGAGAATGAAACTATCTGGGATTCAATCAAAATAAAGAAAGTTGCACTTTAAGTCTGAATGACCAGATTTTCCTTTTTATTCTTCAGCCCTGGAACCTTGTTTGAAATATCCATTACATTTAGCCCTTTATACCTAAATGGCCACTCCAGTTAGAGCTTGCACCTAGAAATTGATTCCGGTTTTAGGAAGCCTGCCTTTTGTCAAAAATACTGAATCTTGAAGCTAATCTAATGTCATGTATTTATTACAGTCCAATTAATAATTAATTAATTTAAAAATACCGAATCCTTTCACAGTTCAAAGGAAAATAAACCCAAGTTTTACATACTGTTTCCTTGCTTGGAAATTACTTCAGTAGAGATGTGTATGTTCTCTCTGGTGACATTTTCAGTGGAGGTACCAACATACTTAACCCACATGAAATCAACTGGAGGAAAAAGAAAATAAAAGAAAAAGCTCCTTCTAGTTTTATTAGGGTGCAGAAAATATGAGACTAAAGTATGTCTTAACTATTCGATGAGAAGTTCTGTTATCATAAACCTGATTGATGTGTTCAGTCGACTGCTGTAGTTGATTTGTATGCTTTTTAAAAAGTTGAAGTTCTTCTTGGACCCTTTTAATAATTCCAGAACAAATAGGTCTTTTATAAGTGGGTCATTATTACTTTATCTTTACCTCTGATTTAGGAAACTTTGGCTTGATTTGAATATTCAGATACATTCCAGTTTATTTTGTTTGTTTCTTTGGTTGGTTGGTTTTGTTTTAAGATTAATTTATTTATTTATTTTTAGAGAGAGAGCATACACGCAGGGAAGGACAGAGGGAGAGGGAGAGAGAAACCCTAGTAGACTCCTCACTGAGCTTGGAGTCCCAACATGGGACTTGATCCCAGGACCCTGAGATCATTAGCTGAGCCAGAACCAAGAGTCAGTTGCTTAACCAACTGTGCAACAAGGCCCCACATTCCACTTGTTTTTAATCTCTCCTGTCCATGTAGGCCTGCTTTCTTTGACCATGCTCAGAAGCACTATGTAATGTTTCTATATCTCAGCATGTTTGGTATTAGATCCCAACCCTTCCCAGAGGAAAGAAAAGGTCATTGGAAATTATAATTATCTTTAATTTCTCCCAATCAAATTGGTTGTTTTATGTCCTTTATATTACATGCTAAGTTTAGATGTATGTCAAACTATGGCCAGGATTAAAAATGAACACAAGCATACCAAATTACTGATTGTTTTGTAAATAACATATCATTGTGAATTTGTAATGAAATAAAATGCATTTTGAGCAATTTCTTAAAATAATATACCTCAATAATGACTTTTCATGTGAAGCTTATTAATGAAAATCATGAGGTGGAGGCAAAATGTAGGCTTATTCCTGGTGAACCTAAACAGTCTGAACTATTTTATACTCAATAGTAGAAGGGATTTGGAATTCATCTGTTAAAAGACATCATCATCAGTAATCTATTTAGATGTGTCTCTGTTTGGTTGATAGTGTATTTATATATAATTTTGTCACAAGAGAAGTCATTAATTTTTTATTCTAGTAGGAGAACAAAGCATTGGAAACATATATTGAACTGAAGTGAGTACCATCTGATTTCCCATCATCCATTACTCCAACAAAGACTAAAGTCTTTCCTTTGATTTCAAAATCAAATCTCTCTGTTAAAAAAAAAAAAAAAAAGGTCTCTGAACTAGAAGGTATCTGATATTCATGGGTAATGAGATTGTATTATACTATCCCTGTGGCTACCTTTTAAAAAAATATTATCACATGTCTTTACACCTATTTCTGCTGCCTACTCAATTTTTTCTTTGCTGTTGTTGTTAGGTGGCCTCTTTGTTATTCATTGGAAATACGGTGTTTATGTTGTTTTAGCTGAGTCTCATTAAGGATCTTTAAAGCTATTGTTGACTTAAATCATGTCAATCAATTATATTAATTGCTTTTTGAGTACCAAAAGTATGAGAGCAAATTGTATGTATCTGTGTATATATTTTTACGTGTTTTTATGTGCTCTTTTTCTCAGCTATTCAAAAAGAATATCCAAAGCTGCCAATTCTCTCCACCAGTCTTGCTTAGGACTTTTCTACTTCCCCTACTAATACTAACTGTGATTACTTATTTTGTGGCATGAAGCAGTTATTATTAAACAAGTAATGAACTTACAGTATGGATGTTCAAGTCAGTGACAATCACTAAAGAGATAAAATTATAAATGAACTATGTGATATTTCTTTTGGAAAGTCAAAGGGAGGCTTGGCTATATGTGATCTATTCTCTGGGCATAAGTATTTGCTTTCATTTTCTTGTGAATGTTGTTAGGCTATAGGATGAGATAATGGTTCCAAGGAAGCTATCAGAATTAAAAACAAGATTTCCTTCACTACCTCAATCCACAGATATTTCATAGGAGATTATTATCTGATAGGTATTGTGCTAGCACTGAGAATACAATAATTAACAGCACACACAGTGTCTGACTGTATAGAACTTCAGAGGGAAAACATTTATTGAATATGCAGTTACAAAGTCAGTGCCTATTCCAAAGGGCATGTATCAGGTGCTAGGGAAGCATGTAGTCAAGTGTGCTAATCTAACTTGGGGACAGCAGGAAAGACCTCCCGAGGAAATAATCCTCTGCCGAGAAGACTCCATTAATGAGTCATGTTTGGCTAAGGAAAAATGGAAATGGCGTGAGAGTGAGGAAGAGCATTTCAAATAAAGAAGTTACAAGTACAAAAGCCCAGAGGAAGAAGGAGAGCCTTAGAAAAATTGAAAGAAGTCTCATGAGGATGGACAGAGGAGAGCAAGGCAGGGGCAGGCATGAGATGAGGAACAGAAGGTAGGAAAGGACCAGATCATGGAACACTCATAAATCTCATCAGGGGCTTGAGTTTTTGTCTTAAAGTCACTGAGAAGGGTTATAATAGACAAATGGCATAATTAGATATCACCTGACATGTGGAGAATGGCTGCAATTGATTGCAGATTTGACACAGAGAGGTTTGTTAATATGCTTTAGTAGTATCCGGGGAAGAGGTGTTTTGGAGCCTAAATTTGGATGGTGTCTCAGGAAATAATCATTTCTGATGATGCGAACACTCTAGCATGAACAATGGCATAAGGAACTACCTAATTATAAAGTCATCGTGACAGTTATAACAGTGTGAATTGGTAGGAGTGTTGGTGGACAAAGAAATTAATAGAGTAAAGGGTATGTGTCTTTGAAAAGCTATTTCATGTTTGCCTATCAAATTATGCGCATAAACATGTTTATCACATAAATCAAATATAAGCCAAAGCCACATATTCATTATTCATCTCACTGCCTTAAGATAACCAATATCATATCTTAGTGTATTTTTCCAAATATAATTTGTTTGCAAGCACACAGAAGAGAACGCAAACTGCACTCTTTTAAAACAAAGATAGGCTTGGAATTTAAGCTATTTGTATCCTCGTGGGGTGTTTTTTTTTTTTTTTTTTTTAGATTATCAATATACTAAAACTATCCTTACTTGACACACAACGATATGTTAGTTTCAGGAATACAACATATTTACATTTTAAATTAAGTACTAATGCATGAAATATTATTAGTCAAATAGACATTCAAAGGACAAGTCGATAAGGTCTAAGTGACAATTCTTTTCTATTTCTCTAAAAGTGTGTGACTAATATAATGGTGGGTTTATTGTGGTATGTGTAGTGTATAGTAAAAACAGTGTAAGAAAGCACTTACAAATTATTCTGAGAAAAATTTGTATCTATTTCTTTCTGAGCAAAATGCTCCAGTATTTTCTTGTCAGCAGTACTACCTTCCAGTATTTCTTTCTCCTCTAAGTTCTTCTCTGAGCTTTTGCCAAAACATCTTAGCTCAAATACCATGTTAGTTAATTTTTACAGAATAGAAAAACTTCTTGCACTATATACTATTGAGCACTGAGATGGCAGCCTGGATTCTTCCTGAGTGCTTTATAGATCAAGTATACATTCATCTATTTGCAAGCATTATTCAAGGTCAGTTTAAACTGTGTTTCTGTCAGATAATGTTTGGTCAAAGAAGGGAGGCTCCTACTTAGTTTGAATCTGTGAGTAGGAACCACTGTTTGTGGCTTGTGTTTGTTCCTTCCACTGTCATGCCTTCTTTAGAATAGTTTAATAAAAGCAGATATTTGAGAATAGAAGAACATACATATTTTTTTCCATATGTTATACACTTCAACATGTGTTAAGCTTTAAGTGAAACTGAAGGACACTCAAATAAAGTCACTTTTGTCAAAGCCTTTTCCTGTAATAACATATTTGGATGATGCAAGATATATTCCCTTGTGATGTCCAAGTGATTGATAAACCAATTTGTGTGGAATATACAAGAACTATTCAGACTTTGTGGTTTCCTTAAATGAGATGAATAAGAATTTCTATTTTCTGAATAGGACATAAAGTATTCTTCTAGGCCAATTTTAGATGCTTCAGTGTGCCAAAGTTGGTATTAAGTTTGGTGTTCATAAATTACTAATCTGGAATAAGAGGTTGAATGTATTTTGAAAACTTAAACCTGTTTCACCTGAACATGTTTAACTAGTTAATAAGAAACATCAAAAAGACAAAACCCTGAGATCAATGGTCATTTTTTTGTAAAGCTATTATATGCTGTTTAAATTGGTTGTTCGGGTCTGTCTATAATATAAGTTTAATAACCTAGCTCAAATGCAGATTTCTAATTTTCAATTAACATAGGAATAATTTTGTTTGCTAAAATAAAATAAATGAATGAATGACAAGTCTGAAACATGAAATGTTCTAGGTAGAACTTTTTAAAATTCCAAATTTCAAAAAATCATGTGGCAACTGTATAGCTCAAGCTTTAAGTATTAACTTTTAACCTTTGACCTTACAGATTTTAACCAATGAAATGTCTCTTTAAACTTTAAAGGAAACAATGATAACGAGCGCCTGGCGATTGCTAGACAGCGAATTCCATATCGACTTGGTCGAGTAGTTGATGAATGGCTACTCGACAAAGGTAAAAAACATTGATTAAAACTTCAAATAAAAAAATAATTTGAACATAACCAAGTAGTACTTCATTGTAACACTAATAAACATAAAAAATAAATTTTCCGTAAAACTAAATTAAAAACAAATTTAAAACAGTAAAATGTAGATAGTAATATTTGCATACCTTGTATAATAATTTCTATACATTTTTAGACGTACCAGCTGTTTAATAATCTTACCCTGTTAACTTAAGGTTAAAGGGACTGTTAAATATAATCCACTAACTCAATCTATGAAGGTACTCACAGCAAGCATTAACCCAAAATGATAAATCATTCATAGATTATATTACATGTTCCAGCCTCTAAATTATTAACTAAAATATATGTAGTTCTGATATCTTTATTATGGTCCTGAAAACAAAACAAAACAAAACAAAACAAAGCAAAACTCTTGGTTTAAACTCTAGGCATCTTAAATAGTGGGCAATATGGATTGCCAGTCAAAATGAAGTCCCTTTAACGTTTGCAACCTTCTAAGAGCATTTGAGAACAAGCCCTAATTAAAACTGAACTTGAAGTTGTGTGCATGCTTTTTATGAGCAGAGAACAATCTGCTAAAACGGATACTCAATTTGATGATATTGGTACTGTTGCTGAGGATTGCTGTTTGATGGAATTGTGCCATAATTTCTCCATTGGTTTGTGTATCATTCCTGAAGCCGCTTTTTACATCTGAAGCTATTTTTTTTTCATTTTATTTTGTTTTAATAGACTTGCTGAAAGCCAATCAGAAAAATACTTTTGGATTTTTTTTGTCTCTGACATGCCCAGTGTAAACCATGCATTTCTTTTCAGTGTGATTGCCGGAAAAATAGAATAATTCAAATAACGATGGACTATGCCTTCAAAAAAATAAACGTTTTTAAAGAATAGCATATAGATACATGTGGCCATTACATGAACTATGAAATTTTTATCATAAATTTAAAATGAGATTTAGCTGCTCTAGATTAGTTTCTGCCAGTGGTAATTTTAGAATGACAAATACTTGAAATGTTAGATATCTCACATTTTTTTTTAATTTAACAAGTTATACTTAAGAGACCAACAGTATAAGATCTTGAGGTAAAAGGGAGAAGGGATCCACTAAAAATTGATTTATAATACGTATCTTTGATTGGTCTTTTAGCAAAAACACTACATTTACAATAAGTTGAGAATTTACAAGTATTTGCCAATGATTATGCATTTCATGGACACCTCATTTATAAGCAATGAATTATGAGTCAAATGCCTCTCTTATAGTTTATTGCTCTCATTATCCACCCCATGAAAGATCTGTTTTATCATCCTTTGTAGAATGTAGAGTTCACAATCAACATTTTTGCATGTATGTAATATTATTTTTACAGGGCGTCAGCTCACAATCTTCAATAGCCAAGCAACCATAATAATTGGCGGGAAAGAGCAGGGCCAGCCCTTCCAGGGCCAGCTCTCTGGGCTTTACTACAATGGCTTGAAAGTTCTGAATATGGCAGCTGAAAATGATGCCAACATCGCCATAGTGGGAAATGTGAGACTTGTTGGTGAAGTGCCTTCCTCAATGACAACTGAGTCAACAGCCACTGCCATGCAGTCAGAGATGTCCACATCAATTATGGAGACCACCACAACCCTAGCTACTAGCACAGCCAGAAGAGGGAAGCCCCCTACGAAAGAACCCATTAGCCAGGTGAGTATGTGGATTTCATTCCTTTGTTTTAGAACTGTGGTTATGAAAGTGGGCTTTTCTGTATATGTGTCTTTTCTAAAATGGGATTGTTTCTGATCTCAGCTGCCATGGCTTTCTTTGAGTCTTGCTTAGCATAATGTACTCAGTTTGAATGTGAAGTATATATATATACTGTTGATTTGAGATTTGCTGCTTTGTGTTGGTTTGTTAGCTGTTAGCTGGTAGTCTTGATTAATAACCTTGGTCTAGCCCAAGCTGAGAGGACTGCCTGCTAATTACACAGGGTTTTCACTTTTAAGTTAAATAAACAAGTAAATTAGTGAACTATTTGAGTGAACTATTGGCCTTGTTTGTTCAGGCTCAGCACATCATCAAAATAAAATAAAACAAATTTGAAGAGAAATTGCATACAAATTTCTATTGTATTTTGAAGAGTTCAGAATTTTGAATTGATAAGCATGTGGTTCTCATTGTGAATGATAGGGCTACTCTTTCACTGTTGTTGAGGGGGAAATTTTTTATTCTACCTTTCAAGTTTCTTCTGGCTGGTCTAAGAATGAATTGACATGAGGCAGATTAATAGGAGGGAAAAAAACAAAATTTGCTTACATATACACAGTCTCAGTAATAAAATTGAGGCCCAAAGAAATAACCAAGGCAGTCAGCTTTTATACTTTTTTAAACAAACAAACACATATCTGTAAGAAATTTACAGGGCAAAGAAATCTTAAGTTTGGAAGCTTCAATTAGTAAGGAATTCTAAATAGTGTTTGAACTGGGACAATAAATTAGTAAATGTAGCTAGGTTTATTTATAGAGCCTTCTCACTTCTCAACTCTGCATTTCTAATGTCTGGTGATACGGATGTCTTTTTACCTCCTGGTACAGGTAAAGGTAGCTTTAATATGGAAGATTTATTTTCTGCTTTCTGAAGGCAAGGGGCATCATGGTGTTCTTCTTGCACTTGCTGTTCCTTGGTAACTTTAATTCAAAGTAATCACTATACCTAGGCCCCCACACTATCTATGAGAAAAATGCACTGTTTGTTTATCTGAAGACATTTTTTGTATTGTATGTGATTAACTGATCTCACCTAGAATTAACTTCAATGAGCTTATGTCTTACATCTAAAATTTTTGAAAAATAAAATTTTTAAATGCCAAGCTTTTACAACTTGGAAGTATATTAATGCAGTCATGGTATACTTAGTGATTTCCTACTGTGTATCAGGCACTGGCATTGCATCAGTGAAGAATAAGAAAAACAAACAAACAAACAAGCAAAAAACAACTACATGCCTCAGAGAGCACTATTAGAATGCTGTAGATATGCTATTAAATGCTACTAGATCCCTAATGACATTTATAGTCTTTGTATATATTATGTTGTGATCTCTTTCAGAATTGTATGTTCTCCTAGATCTAAATTGATTGTTTTCTTTTGTTTTGTTTTTAATAGTGAATGAGTGTATCTAGTAGATGCCATATAAAGCTTTTCCAAATATATGATCCTAACTTCCAGGAAAGTGCATCCTAAAGAAACAAGAATGATAACAATTATTTTTACATTTCTTTTATTTCAAATGTTTGAGACAGAGCTAAGTGTCAAATTTGGAAAGAGAGTAGAAGGTGAATTCTGTTCATATCAGCACCCTATCTACTAATTAACATATGTTTACCAGAGAAAGAAAAGAACAGATTCTGATTTTTACTTTCAATAGGAAGGAGTGGGAAGAACAGAATAGAAAGAGAGAAAATATCTTAGAAGAGATGTTCAAAAATTTACAGAGATGATCTGTAAATTCATAAATGTAGTATTGCATATTATGTGCCTTTATGCACTATTTTTTTCCTTCTTTCCTTTCTTCTTTCCTTCCTTCCTTCCTTCCCTCCCTCCTTCCTTCCTTCCTTCCTTCCTTCCTCTCTCAATCTCTCTCTTTCTCTCCCCCCCCCTTATTTTTGATTTGCATTTGGCCCAAAGTAAAATGAGCTGTCTCACTGGGTGTTCATCAGTATGTATTTATTGATCATTCTACATGTGCCATACATTGTCCTAGGCACTGGGAATACATTAGCAACAATGAACAAAAACACTTGTCCTTATGGAATATACATTTTAGTAGGAATGTGCGCTCATAGTATAATCTTTCTGTTGATTTTCTCTATCTTGTTTCACTAATAAGGTTGCTTTTTTTAAAAAAATATTTTATTTATGTATTTGACAGATAGAGACATAGCTGGAGGGAACACAAGCAGGGAGAGTGGGAGAGGGAGAAGCAGGCTTCCTGCCAAGCAGGGAGCCCAATGCGGGGCTCGAACCCAGGACCCTGGGACCATGACCTGAGCCGAAGGCAGACGCTTAACAACTGAGCCACCCAGGCACCCAATAAGATTGTTAATAATAACACTTAGTCCCTTGGATAAGAACTTGTGACTTTAGAATTTTAGACAGATTTATGCCTATCCATCAGCTCCATTTGATAATCTTTACTGATATTTCATTAATGATTTATTATGGCTGTTGGTTTATGGTTTGTTTAACAATAAACAAGTTATTAAGGTGGATTTGATGTAGGAAAATGAAGCACAAAGCGATTGATAGACTATTTCTTTTATGTAAAATAATTCATAAGAGGACATTGTAGGTCAGAGTTGGAAATGTTCCTGGGAGTTAAATTTGAAATAATCAGAGCTTTTTCTTAGTAGTCTTATTTTATCATTAATGAAATTACAGTTGCCTAAGTTCCTAGCTAAACCAGATATACCCCAAAAGAAGGAAAGACTTACCAACATTTCCTAGAATGTATTTTATCAGTAACTGGTATAAATGAAGAAATGCTTTTTTTTTGAGAAAACGTGCAAAATAGCTATTGCATTTGTAAGCTCAATCCCTAGAATTGAAAAAATAAGAAGTTATGCATTTTATAGTATTAATTAATATAAAAGGAAAACAGTTAACTACCCATTAATTTCTAATGAAGAGTCTTTTTTATTATAAGCTATTACATGTTTAAAGACAGCAGTGGTTTATGGAAGTAAATGAGCTAATCAATTAGTGATTATTTGGTTCATTGGAGGAGGTATTGACTTAAATAAAGATTGCTAGGTTCATTAAAAAATAGATATTTTATGTAGTGTATTTTAAATCTTTAGATTTTTAACAGGTCGATAACAGCAATTAAATAATTTGGATTAATATGCCACAAATTGTCAGTTGTGGTAACAGTGTTTTCAGGTTGGGCCAATAGGTTTTAAAATGATCTTTTATAATGATATGTATGTGATTTCTGGTAATAAGGTATGCATATGTGGAAAAAAACTGCTAAGGAAGAAAGCAAATTATTTATTTTTGAGTAACAGAGTAATTTATTGCAAGTTCTCTTTACCTCACAATTGACTTTTAAACTGTCCTTCAACTATGAAGAGATCACTGACATGTAGAATTTAAATGATTTGTTGGGATTGTCAAAGTCTTAGAAGTTTAAAATTGTAAGACAGTGATTTGTAATGCTAATTCCAGGACTGTAACCTTTGACCCATTTGTGCAGATTGGATGAAGCATCTTCCTCTAAACCCTGTCTGTAGTGGCCATATCTGCCTGCTTTTATCAACTGCCTTACTAAATTGTGTACCAAGAAGGGTCATTTTATTTTTCTGAAGCCATACTGGACTGTTTTCTCAATCAAAGTATTATTTTCCTCAGTGATAACACTGAGCCACTTAAGCTACAATGGCAATGTACTTTGAGGTGATTGCATGTTTTAGAACTATGGAAACAGATTTTTGGTCAAGCAAAGTTAAATTGAATTCATTTCAAATAGATGAGATGAGGTTTGTTTAGCCGTCCTGCATGCAGGGCAAGTGGTAGGGGAGAAATGTATTTTCATTTTTTACAGAGTCAGAAAATTTTTATGAAAGAGTATTTATCAAAATGTTGTCCCGGGGCACCTGGGTGGCTCAGTTGGTTAAGCGACTGCCTTCAGCTCGGGTCATGATCCTGGAGTCCCGGGATCGAGTCCCGCATCGGGCTCCCTGCTCAGCAGGGAGTCTGCTTCTTCCTCTGACCCTCTTCCCTCTCGTGCTCTCTGTCTCTCATTCTCTCTCTCTCAAATAAATAAATAAAAATCTTAAAAAAAAAAAATGTCCCGTAGGATCCTGTTTACTTTCCTACTTAAAAGTAAATATGCTTTTAAAAAAAGTTTTTCTTCTGAGTGATGATCAGATTTCAGACTGATGCTTCCTTTAGAAAGACATGATTTATATCATGAAATAATGAGGACATTTGCCAACTCTTCTGAGTAAATGGCTCTTAAAAATGTGAATATAACAATATTAATGGTACCTTTTTAAATTACACTTTTTTATGTGCATTACATAAAGTTCATAAAATTTGTTTTACTTAGGATATTTCATACCTAAATGTTTCCATAAGACCTGCTCTTCTTAAAAAAGAGAAGGTTTCCAAGCCAGGGAAATGTACATTAAAATGCACACGAGTGTTTAAGATCTTAAAAAGAGAGAGAGAGAGAGAGAGAAGCTTTCTCTAAGGCTACTCTCAGAAAGCAAATATTTGCAAATAATTGCTAGTAAAATTTCTTGGGATGCTGAGAGCTTCTTGGGATGAGGGGCAGGAGTGTCATGCAAGATTTTTGGCTTCTAAGTGTTCCCTCTTCTGCATAATCTGGCAGTGTCTTATAATATATGTAGTTCTGCATAAATGAGTAAAAGTAAGCCAGTCTTGCAAAGGGCAACATTCACTCCCTTTGGTTGCAGTCTGTAAAGAAAGGAAAGTGAAGCTGTGCTATTCCTTTTAAGATCAAAATCGTAGTATTTATTCTGTTCTAATCTTTGTATTGCATTTTGCAATCTTTTGGTTCTTCACGACTGTTTGACAAGCTATGTACACACTGTAGAGCAGCATATGGGTCCATAGAAATGCCTTTTACTTAGAGGGAATATAGGAGAATGGAAAGAACACAGTAGACCATGAGACATGTTCCA